AGCGCCCGCGCGCCCCCGACCCGGGCCCCGGACTCGCGCGTTACCCTGCGCGCCCCCGACCCGGCCCTCCGCTCGGGCACCTCCCCGCCCGCCCCCGACCCGGTCCTCTGCGTGCTCGACTCCCACCCGCTCGCCCCGGCACGGGCTTCCCGCACGCCCGCCCCACCTCGACCCGCGCGCGCCTGAGCCGGCCCCCTGCCCCGGGCGCGCGGACAGTCTGGAGAGGGGCGCTGCCCCGCTGGGGCGGAGAGCGCAGGACAGCGGCGGGGACCCCGGGCGCCCGCCCTCCCGCACCCCTCAGCCGGCGCTCCCCCCGCCGGGCTTCCCCCTCGACGGGGCAGGCTGGAAATAGGGGTCCAGACAGGTCGCCCCAGCCCCCCCTTTCCCGGGACTTAGATTTAAAGGGACAGGAACTGCGTAACGGGAAGGCGCCCAGCGCCCAGGGCGCTCTCCTCCCCCTCCCGGGAGCGAGCCGCGAGGTGAAGCTTGGCAGAGCAGGCCCCGGGCGTTCCTGGGCACCCCTCGCGTTTCCTCTCTCCCACCCTGCGCCTCGCCCCCTGGCTCCTGGCTCCTATCTGCGACACCTGTCCCTGGCATGACTGGAGAGGCTCTTGGCAGACCACAGGTGGTTTTCCCTAAGACAAATAATCCATCCTTCTTCCTTATGGGCAGTTTTGGCTCCACATGCTGCAGGAAGGGGGGCGATCGCCCCAGAAAACATGTAGTTGGTGAATGTCCCCCTCCCCATAAATTAATAGAAAGTCCGGCCACACGCACATGTCCCGGCGTAAAGATACCCAAATGCTGTCCCTTCCCTACGCCCTGACCAACAGGTAGCCCCCAACTCCTGGAGCGGTTGCGCTGTGGGGGAGCAAAGTGGGATCGTCACCAGGGCGTTACTAGGTCTTTCTCTATACATACTCCCCCTACCCCACCCCCAAGTGATGATGTCTGGTTCCTGGATCCAAGTATCCTGGGACCAATTTAAAATGCATTTCCTGGGCCATAAATCCGCAGACAGGAGCCTGGTTCTCAGCTCTCCCGGAACGTGGACCGCAAATGGCAGCGGCCGCGTGCTGCGGGGGGAGGGGCGAGACTGCACAGGGTCGCGGCTAATTGCAGTGCCAGCCTGGGACTCCGCGGTCAGGGAGACAGGAATTGCAAGCCAGGCAGACAGCCGGACAGTTAGCCCCAATTAACCGGAGGCCCAGCTCACACCTTCTCCTGCTTCCCAAAGACGGGAAGACTGATCCCATCTTTGGCTGAACAGGCTCTCCCCGGAAAACCAGCCCCTCCAGGAGTCCCAGAGTTCAAGCTCAACTTTCTGTCTTGCTTGGGGCTCCAAAGCCCCCTCCCTCCCTAAACCTCCACCTGCTGGAGAGCAGTTACCACCTTACCCCCCCACACACCCCACCCCATCTTGGAGGCATATTTAGGGAGTTTGGCCTAGGGGTGGAATTGCTGGGTCAAGCAGATCTGATCTGGGATTTAACAGCTGAGAGCAGTTTCCTTCTCGCCCCGCAGTGCCGTGTCCTCCTGGCTCTCGGAGTCCTCCTGGCTCTCGGCATCCTGGCTGCGCCTAGGAATTTCAGACTTCTACTATGTTTCCATTTATTTTCTTTTGTTTATTTGTAGGAAGCAGTGTCTGGGGCTATTCGGTGTGAATGAAAAATTGCATATTGTGAATGTGTGCACAAACCCGCCCTTCTTCACCAGCTTCAGGCTCACGCTCTGCCTCTGGAGCGGGCCAGCTGTGCGGTTTGGGCAGTCACTTACTACCTCTGAGCTCAGTTTTCTCATCTGTAAAATGGGCAGATACTGGTTCCCACAAATTGCCCTGGGGGTTCAAGGAGCCGGCGTCTGGGGCATGGGAGGCACGGGAGAAGGGGAAACAGTGGTGTTATCAGGAGTCCAGCCCCTCCTCGAAGGTCGTGGATTCCTACGTGGGACTCCTGACTTTCGGCCGGCTCCCCCCAAACCTCACTGACATAAAATTGCTGTTGCCTTTACACTCTGCACTTAATTTCTTCCATTTTATTCCCCACCCAGGTTTTTTGCTGGTTCAGCAGCCTTTCCTCACACGAACGGTGGGTCACGACCAAGATGTTGTTGGAAAATGAGGACTGGAGGCTTTGAGCAATTTCTGGTCAGCACCTTCTACCTCTGGCTAATACACACCCTTCCCCCGGCAGTTCCGAGGGACTGTGCCCCACCTCCCCCAGCCCACCTCCCTCCTCTCCCACGCATGGCCATGGTCGCGCTAGCTTCAGCCCTGACGGACTTCAGTCTCTGAAGTGCAGGCATTAGAGGCATTCGTTTTGTCCCATTTGGAAATCATTCTCCCATAATGGATGGCGGGTGGTACTGATTTCATTTTGGAGGAAACTCTGTAAGGCTACAAACACAGGACCCACCCCCAGCAATTTCAAAACAGAAGGAAACCAGAAGGAAAAACAAAAAGCCAGAGCACCACGCAGAATTTCATGGCTCTGGGCACCAGGCTCTGGGACAAGAACCGTACCTTAGCGACCCCATCGGCACTCCTCAGGTGACCCGCGCTGCCATACTCACCTGTCTAAAAGACCAGCTCGGGGGCTGCCTCTGTGAAGTGCCCGACGGAAGGGAAGGGAAGGGAACGACAGACGGCCAGAGCAGGACTGCTGTTCAAACGGGCTGGTCTCCCAGCCGGCAAGCTCTCTGGCCTCTACGCCCCGGCAATCTCTCCCTCACCTGCTCCCTCTCACCGTGGCCCAGAAATTTTCCAGTCTCCGTGGCAGAAAGGCTCCTGGGTTCCCCAGATAAGGGACGCCCCCCACCCGCTACTGAGTTTTGGACACGCCTCCTGCTGCCGCGTCTCACCCCAGTGATGCAATGTGACGTGGAAGGTCACGTAAATGGCAACACGGCTTCTGCACGTGCCCGTGGACGCACAGAGACCCCACCCACGGAGCTTTCCTCCCGTGCCTCGTCATGGTTTCAACGTGTAAAAGTGGCGTCATAATGCCAGAGCTTCGGGGCGCAACATAGGGGCTCCGTGCGTGCATTGCAAAGTGACCAAGCCGGAAGTCTAGCCAACACCCATCACCCCACATCGCCACACAGTGTGTCTCTTCCTGGGAGAACTTTCCAGGTCTACGCACTTGGCAACTTTCAGATGGGCACCGCAGTGTTCATTAGATCTCTGTGACCCGTTTCTCTTACGGCGGGAAGTTGTGCCTTTCGACCCCGCTTCATCCATTCGGCCCACCCCCTCTGACAACCATCGGTCAGTTCTCTGCACCCGTGAGTTTAGTTTGCTTCGTTTTCTCTAGATTCCGCGTATGGGCGAGACCGTATGGTGTTTGTGTTTCTCTGACTCATTTCACTTAGCATAATGTCCCCGAGGTCCGTCCATGCTGGTGCAAATGATGCGATTTCCTTTTGTATGGCTTTATAATATTTCATGACATTATACACACACGCATTTTCCTCATCCATTCATCCATCATAATTTCAGTATCTGAACCAAATAAATGTTATGTTAAGCCAGGCAGAGGTCATGCAAACTATGAGGTCAGGGGCCAAATGCTTGTTTTTAGGGACAAAGCTTGACTGGAACACAGCCAGACCCGCCCACGTACACACAGCTACAGTCCCTTTCACACCACGGCGTCCTGGTTGAAGAGTTTCCATAGAAACCATGTGGCCCATAAACAACTCAACACCTTGCCCTTTACAGAAAAAGCGAGCCAAGCCCCGTGTCTTAGTCTGCTCAGGCTGCTGAAACAGAACACCGCACACTGAGTGCTCTCTGTCACGGGAGTTTATTTCTACAATACTGGAGGTTGGAAATCGAGCTCAGAGGGCCAATAGGGTCAGGTTCTGGGGAGAGCTGTGCTCCTGGCTTGCAGATGGCCACTTTCTCACTGTGACCTCATGTGGCAGGGGGTTGAGGGTGGGGTGGGAAGGGAGAGAATGGGAAAACCCTCTGGTGACTCTTCTTCAAAGGACACTAATCCAGTGAGATCAGCGTCCCACCCTTATGACCTCATTTAACCTTAATTACTTCTTACTCCAAATACAGCCACATTGGAGGTTGAAGGATACAAACGTTCAGTCTGTAACACCCTGGTTTAAGTCACTAAGTCTTGGGGTGGCTTGGTACAGAGCAGTAGCCACCAGAACAGACCGTATGTTCATGAGGATGGCTCTACGTCCCTTTCTCCTCCTCTGTAAAATGTCACCAACACTGATTCCTACTTTCCAGGGCTGGGGCAAAGGTGAGGAAGGAGTTTGGGGGTCCCTAGTGCCTCACTAGTCCCCAACAACTCACAGCTATAGCTCCTCACCCTCTCTGGGGGTGGTCGTTCCCAAGGATGAAGATCACCCCAAGGTTGCTGGAGGTGTCGCCTGTCCTCTTCCCAACCACCACAGCTCATCCTCCGGTTTTAATGTTCCTCCCGGCCGTACGTGCATGGACAAATAAACCGTACCACACAAGAAGGCAGTTAACGTGGGGGTGCCTCGAGATTGCGTAAGGGCTCTTGATTCTCCCCAAACCAGAGGTAGAAAAAGATGCCAGCCCTGGGTGGGAGCAAAATCAGGGGCAGTCAGGATCACTGGCTGTTGTTGGCCAGTTTCTCC